AGAGAGAGAGAGAGAGAGAGAGAGAGAGAGAGAGAGAAGGAAGAAGAGGAGGAGGGGTCTGTGTCCCACTTCTTATGGATTCCCCTGCTCATGCTAATATGGGCTTACAGAGCTCACCACACATGAGCAGATGGTGTGATCACACAGTTTGGCTACTGAACTGTGCATGTGCGGTCATCTAGCTCAAGGCGTGGCTGGGAATTCCAACACAGAGTAGGATGTGTATTTTGATTGGCACATTAAAATTAACACACATTCCTTGTTTCATTATGGCGAATATATTGAAACCCTCTCAGCTATTTTTAGAAGCATTGTATGTTATGGTGATCTATACTCATCCTACTGTGCCTTTAAACACCAGACAGATACCACTTTATAGTAAATACTGTCTACTTCCTCTCCACCTCCCTCAAGAGATATTTGTACTCGATTGTGTATTGTAACCTCTTCACAACAGCGAGACCATGGAACACATCTGCTTATATCAGTGAATAAATGGGGAAAATTGTGATCCATATTCCTATTGGGGAATCTCCAGCTTGGGGGTGGTGGAGCATTCCATGCTTTGGTCCTACTCCTCCCTTTCCAGACCCTGCCCACTCAGAAAGCCCGCCAAGTAGGGGCCACCTCTCCTCAGCAAGCCCGCCAAAGTCAGTCCCCCCTGGAGATGACCAAAGACCACACCTACAGGCTACCCTACAGCCACTAGGGAGATGCTTTGCTCTGTTCAGAATAAACCTGGATTTATTAATTCGGCTTGATTGGCTTATTGCCTCAGTGGTGGAGGATATCCAATAACTGAGAATCCCAAACTTATCAACTCCCATATATAATGGAATACTACACACCAATAAGAGAGGATGTCCTCTTTAGTGACAACATGGGTGAATCTGGTTGACATGTTGAGAGGAATTAGTCAGGCATAGAAGCTTAACACTGCTTGTTAGTTTGAAAGAACTAGTTAAAATCAGACAGGAATTTATATTATTTTCTTGGATTTGGGAACATTTTTTTTTTTAAGTACGATGCAAAACTAGAAATCATAAGGAAGTTTATGTATTCAAAATATGGAGGAGTTTAGAAATGTCCCAAGATTTACTTTCTGTAGGGAGTTTGAGGAGCTATGAGGAGTAGAACCCAGGGAAACCAGATTGCTCACATGCTGAGAAGAGCTGGGGCTGGAAATGAGCACATGAAAATTATCATGCTACATTCCATACCTTTGTATAACTGGAAAGAATGAAGGTCAAGTGTTTTGTGTGGACCCAAACTCCAGAGGCCACAGTTTAGTGCTTAAAGCCTTCCAATCCTACATATCCTCTCCTCCATTGTTAATGGGTGAGGCTTCCTGGTATTTTAGAAGTGTAAAACTGAGCAAAAGGCAATGCTTAAAGTCAGGGGACTTTGTAAAACATATAATTTGCGTTCAGTAAAATTAACTCACTTGATGTACATCTTCATCACGTTGGAAAACATAATCATGCATTCTTCATCAAGATATATAGGGGCTGGAGAGTTGGCTCAACCATTAAGAGCATTTATTGCTCTTACAGAGGACTGGCTTTGATTCCCAGCATCTATATGGTGGCTCACACACTCACCCCTAACTCCAATTCCAGGGATCTAACACACTTCTCAGAACCCCCCGACACTAGGCATGCATGTAGTACACATATACACATACACACAGACAAAACACTCATACACATAAAATAGATCTAAGACAATAGTTTACAAAGGATATAGACTCCCTGCCCCTTACCCCACTCCAACTTCCCCATTCCCTGTTGCAGACACTCTGTACCTCTGTCCCCAGCCCTTACACACTTACTTTTCCAGAATGCCACAAAAATGGATCCCTGAAGCAGAGACTTCACATTTGACTTCTTTCACGTCCATGCAGCATTGCTCTTCAGACAGTGCAGTGTCTATCAATAGTGTTTAGACACACCGCTGGCTAGATTCTAAGAGACAGTCCACAGCACCACTGGCACAGGAGCAGTGCTCTGAATTCACAAGTGTGCAGGCACCACATAGTCAAATGTTACACAAAGAAGTTAAGAAAATCTGGCAGGAAGCTTGTAGAGAAGTGAGAAGAGGAAGTGTGTCGTGGCAGTTTGGGTTTCTTTTCAAATAAGCAAGAAGGAGACAGCTTCCTGTGGCTCACTGCCATTAAACTTGCTTAAGTTTGCTGATAAGTTTAATTTAGAGACTTTTGAATCAGCAGCCTTGGGACAATGCCTGGTAAAGTTGTATGAGAAAATGGCAAGTGCAGGCTTGTGTTCTAACTTATTTCCTCTGTTTGAGAGTTTGTTTAACTTGTCATCAGCTTCAGGACTTTTGGATGATTGCAAATGTTGCGTTTTTTTTTTTTTTTTTTTTTTTTTTATAGTGTTCCTCAGAGCTGCTACGATAAAAGTCATAAAAATACTGATAGCCCAAAACCAGAAATGGGCTTTCCTTTCAGTATGGGGATATGTGGGCAGGATGCGGGCATACTACCATATTGTGCAGTTTCTGCACAAATAGCTTCATAGTAGTTGCACAATTTTGCCTTTCTAAAAGAAGGGTGTTAGAGTCATATCAACATCGAATTCATCAACCTCCTGTTATATAGACAGTCAATTTTCTCTTGAATCTAAGATGATTTTTGCCCAAGACAAGTTCAGAGACATTTCTCTCACTTTATAAGGAATCAAATGACTTCACAATATCAAGGTTTGTGCTTGGGTCTACAGTCTTTCTCATGTCTTGTTTTTAGCAGACAGACACCAGGTTGTTTCAGTAGCACATATTGGAGTGATGCCATCCTTCCCTAGTCTACAAACCATACATCTCTGTTAAATATGTGTTGACCATGTGTGTTCGATGTAACTTCTGGAGTCTTTTTTTCTGCTGTATCTTCCAGTGTCTGTTCTTTTCCTATCACAAGGCTGTAGTGTTATTTATTTATTCCTGTTCCCATAAGTCAAGAGATTAGGCAGAATGATCTCTGAATTCGACCCTTTTTCAGAATCATTTTGGACTCTTCGTTTCTTTTTAGTTTTCATAGTACCTTTCATATACTTTGGTGCTATGAATTTCATTTTTTCTGAAGGTAATCATTCCCCAGGAAGTGAAACTGTTGCACCTATAAACTTGCTAAGAAATTGTTGACATAT